ACTGGGGCAAGACTTCTAGGGACCCTCCCCACGACCCGCGCCTAAAGTTCTCTTCCACTCCTCCTCACCCCTTCAGCACCCTAGGCCCCACCCTAGGCTCTCCCTTCTCAGGCTCTGCCCCTCCTGGACCCCACCCCAGGCCTTGCCCTCCTCAGGCCCCACTCTCAGGCCAAGTTCACTGGGGATTTCTCTGTGCATGGGCTGGCCCTGTGCTAAAGTCATGTCTCCGCAGGTGGTGGGTCCAGGACAAAGAGTAAAGTCAGTGACTGTCTCCTCTTGGCTTCAGCCTCGCCCCATCCCATCAGCTTGTCCCCTTGAATGCAGAAGTCACTGATTGTATTGGGGTGCATGCACTCACCAGAGGTACAGGTGCATAGCCCTTCTCCAAAATCACAATCAGGGGCACATTCTCCTGGCAACCCTTACCCACCAACCAGGCTCTCAAGTTAGCCAGGCCCCCAGGGAACTGCACTCCTCCACTCAGAATTCTGCCCAACAGCCACGACCCAAGCAAGGGCAAGCTGCCTCACCTCGCACTCACGGCTCCCAAAGCTACTGTAACAACATCCTACACCACTCATTTCCTGGGCCCCTCTCCCACCCACCCAGATAACAGGAGAAACAGGTGGCAGTGTGAGGGAGGTGGCCCCTCTGTACCTGCAGGAGTCAGCATGTCCTTCTAGGAGCAGGTGGAGAGGCTGATGGTGTGGCACGCAGTGGCATTCAGAGGTGGACTGGGAAGGAAAAATGCCCTGTGGGGGGTCACAGCCACAGACAAGGCAGGCAGTCCGAGGTCTCGGCATTGTCCACCTGCGCTCCCACGTGGATGGACGTCAAGTTCCTTGGAGCCCGCATGGTGTGCTCAGTTCTCGCCATGCTGCATCCACACAACACCCGGCTCCCTGGCCTCGCCCAGGCCGGGCCCAGGCAGGGCCGCTCTCGCCCTAACATGCAAGTCCTTGCTTTCCGCTCTCAGACCCCTGGTAGACCTCCAACATTCCATAAGGCTCCCCTGGGCCTAGAAGGGCTGCCTGGTGAGGTGACGCCGAGGGAGCAGCAGAGTCGGGCAGGTGCTGTCTAGAGCGCCAGATCTGAGCTTTGCAACAACCAGGGAAATGGAGAAAGGTCCAGGAACCACGTGATCAGGCTCCAGCATCTGACACACGCCTTGGTCACAGCACACACACGTGGCCAGGTCTCACGGCTCATACACGTGACCCAGCTATGACATCTCACACACACGCACCAACACTCAGGCACACATGTGACCCAGCTATGACTTATCACACAAACACCAACACACATGACCAGCAGCCAGCCCAGGCCGTCTCCCAGCAGGAGGTGGGCAGCCCAACCACTGTCCCTTGTCAGGCCCAAAGCCCAATCCTCCACGGAATGTCAAATCTTACAGGGCACACTGGATTCCTAGCCTTAGGGTTCTGCAAACTTCAGGCTTGCTCCAGTACACCTTGCAACTAAGAACCACCCCCACCCCACCCCGCCACAGGCTGGTTTCCATCCCGGTGCTCCTTTATGGGGATCCTGTGGGAGTCCTTCTGAGAATCGGAAGCCCAATGGCAAAAGAATCCCAAAAGCCACATGTCAATGGCTAGAGACCGGACTTGGGTCAGGAGAATGGAAGGGACGGGGAAGACACATTTCCTTGGTGCCTAGTCTTTGGGGGTCAACTCTTCCAGCATCAAAGTGAAAGGGAACTCTCAGCCAGCTGGGCTCTAGATCAGGTCCAGCCATCAGCCTGTGCTGAGTGCCTATGCATGAAGGCCATGAGGGTGACGCCCCCCAAGTCACTGTGTTAACCAAAGCTGTGCCTGCTGCCCAGGCAGGCCTGCTTCCACCTTCAAGTATAACGGCCTTGGGGGCCTGTGCAAACACAACAGTTAGGACCACTTGACATTTAGCACAGCAGGGACACTGCCAGCAACGCACTAATCATATACACTAGGTGGTGGAATTCACAGCGACTCCCACCCCATCGCCAAATTAAATCAAGATGTTTCCCATTACCTGCTCTATCTCTATTGCTTTTCCAGGGATTAAAAAAGATCAGGCTTCCTTCTGGTGCCCCCCTATACCCCAAAAGTTTTCTTCAGAGAGGGCACTGCTTGCCCAGACAACAGGAAACAAGCAGGAAAAAAACAAACATCATGCTAATGAATTCCTTCCAGAAATATCCATTGCATGCTGCTTAGAGACCAGGCTGGGCAGTTTGCTACACCTGTGCCTCTGGCCAAAGAAGATGGTCCAGGAGAGGGTCAGCTGGAGTGCTCCCCTCTCCCTGCCTGGCTCCCCTTCCCTGAAGGCTGCCCCTTCCACCCCTGCCCCCCACTTCCTTTTCTGTCCAACCTTTCCAGGTCCTCCTTGACTGGGAGCCCTCATCTCTGCTCCGGGGAAATATCAAAAAGCACACATACACCACACACACACACACACACACACACACTTGCCCAAGGAATCTGCAACCCTGGAAAGCTGAAGCTCGGCCTCACACGCCAGTCTCCACACAGTCCTTGGGTTCTTACTGCCATTCCTACCTTCAGAGGCAGGGGAACTGAACAAATGCTTTCAAAGCTGGCTGGTTTAAAAAATAAACAGCACCAACAAAAAAGCTGCCGCTCACAAGCCTCAATCCCCGTGGAGAGGCTGAGCTAGCCAGCGAGGAAGCTGAATGAGACCCACACTGCAAGCGTGGCAGGAGCGCCAGACTTGTAGCTCGCCTCCCGTGCCGAGGTGGTTTCCATCTGTGTCAGTCAGTGTGTCGTCGCAACACCAGCCCCCTCTGGCGCCGCCACCTCCAGCAGGCGCCCTTCCCACACAACGCCATCAACTGCAAGAAACAGCAGCTGGCCCAGGGGACACACACCTCAGCTCTCGGGCAGCCCCTGAGGCCCTTTACATGGCCACATGTCAGACCTGCACCTGGGATGCCCTCTCTCTGAGTAGGCATGGGAGAGGGACTGGGATGGCCTCCATGGGGCCCTTGCTGAATGGTTCTAGCTTGATTGCACAAGCTTGGTCTTGGGAAATGGCTTGCTTTGCAGAAAGTGGGTCTGAGTTAGACTTCACCTCACATGAACCTTCGAGTTAGCCACCTCCGTCGTCCCTACCCACCCAGACCCCACATGGGCCTCCTCTGACTGAGGTGGTCTACACCTCCCTACACCTCTCGCCTTTCCCTCTGGGCCCTTCTACCATCTGCGCTTGGCGTTCTGGCTGTGGCTCACAGCCGCATTCTCCGACACGGCTCTCCCGCCCGTCCCGACAGCTTTGGGAACTCACCCTCAGGGTGTACTCCACAAGACAGCATCCCTTCAACCCCACCCTCACCCCTGCCCCATTCCGAAGAACCAGCCCGAGCAGCTGACGTCATTGCTGTCTCTCTGGATTCAGGTCTCCCGATAGCTGGTATCAACCAAAGTGCCCAGGCTGCTGCTCCAACGAACGGGGATCCATGTGGAACATTCCTGCACTGACGCAGTCAGCTGCGACCAGCTAGTAAAGCACAGATACCACGACCAGGCGGGAAATGGCTGCCAACTGTGACCAAACACAGCACGCCTAAGAGCCAGGGGGCCCAAGGAAGCTTCAAAAGCGGCGAGGGGCTGGAGTCCCGCTGGTGGCAGCGCCCCCAATCTCAAGGGACACAATTGAGGACCACAAGAAGGTGGGCAAGTCCTCCCAGCATCGAGCAGACCATGAACAGCCAGGAGGGAACCCCAGGAGCAGCGGGAAGTGGGGTTGCAGTCCCCAAGGGAGCAACCAGCCTGGAGAGGGAAATTGACATTCCCGCCAGGAAAGTGGAACACATCCCATGCCACTCTCCCTCCACCCCCGCCATCCTGGCCTGATGCCCCAGGGAACTCAGAGCCCAGCAGGGGCCACACAGCAGGCTTCCTTCTCCAAAGTCTCATTCATTGCTGGTTGGCGGATCCTTGGGGAGCAGGCAGGGCCGGGGGCACTGCCATCACACACCACCACACCTGGTCTCTCTGTCTCAGTTCCAGGACAAGGCTGAGCTGGCCACAAGAGACCCTCACTTGAGTCAGCTGCAAACTTGTTTCTCAGAAGGAGGCAATTTCAGAAAAAAAAAAAAAAAAAAAAAAAAGACGACGTGGGGGAACTCTGTTTCCTTCTCTGCCAAGGCCAGTGTCCTGTGTCCCGGCCCTTGCGGGGGTTCACACCCTGGCAAGGGGGCTAGGTACTGGGACCCTTAGCTGCCTGGGAGCTGGGGCTCAACTCCAACACCCCTCATCTCTGACACCCATGGGGCCCTGGCCTGCTACCCGTTGCTAGGGAAAGCTCTTGGCCTGTGAACTGTCCCCCGTGACGGCGCCTCATCACAGGTGCTTCCCTCTAAGAACTCCCCCCACATTCCAACACTCAGAACAGAAGCTGAGAAAACAGCCGCGACTGCTCCCTCTTGGGGTGGGGGGCAGGGGCAGGTCCTGCCTGATGCGCGCCCTGAGTGGAGTTGTCCTCGGCGCAGGCCTTCAGGCCAGGCCGTACCCACTAGTACCTGTGCCTGGCTTCCAAAACGGGCCAGGAGGTTGACCTCGACCGAAGGTGCTGCTAAACACGGCGAAGAGGATCTCCCCCATTCCCTGTCACCCCGGGTGACAGAAGGGTGGGGCAAGGGCAGCACCTCTCGCCCCCCTCCCCCCAACACCCACGTCAGGAGAGACCCGGTTGGAAAGGGTGCTCTCGTGTCGGAGAGTGAGTGCCGGGCCGAGCTGCGCCCGGAACCCGAGCCGCTCTCCCGCAAAGCCGAGGGGCCCCGCGCGCAGCCCCCCGTCCCCAGGAGTAAAAAAGTTGGTCCCGGAGTAGAGCTGGCCGCCGGCCTCTGTCCACGGTGCTGAACGCCCCCACCCCCGCGCGCCGGAGCCCCGGGACCCCCGCGCGCCCCCGGCCGCACAGCGCGCCCGCCGAGCCCCCCTCCCCGGCAGCAGCGCCCCCCCTCCCGCCGCTGCCGCCTCCTTCCTTACCTTCTTCTTGCGGTCACGGGAGCGATTCCTCCGCTTCCTGTTGGATTCCTCCTTCTCCTTCTGTTCCTGGAGGGCCTGCGCCTCGATGTCTTTGATTTTCTTGAGCTGTTTGGCCGCCTGAGCCATGGCGGGTCACGGCTCTCCGGCCCCCCTGCCACCTCTGGCCTGCCGGCCCCGCGCACTTGGCGAGCCAGGTGGCGACACCCCGGTGGGGAGGAGGAGTCGTCCCCGTGCTCTGCGCCTCTTGCCGGCGCAGGAGATGCGGCGGGGTCGGCGGCCGCGGGGCACGCGGAGGACGAGGCGCGGGCGGCTCCGGCGGCCCCGGATGGCGCCTCCCGCCGCGGCCGGAGCGCGCTCGCCGGCGCCCGGGACGGGCTCTGGGCACGGCCCCGCCGCCTCCCGCCCTGCCTCCCTCCCTCCTCCCTCCGTCCTCTCCTCCACCGCCACCACCCCCCCTCTCCTGCGGCGGCGGCGGCGGCGCGGGGCGGGGGCGGGGAGGCGGCTCGTACTGCGGCGAGCGGGCCGCGGAGGGGGGCGGGCCCGGCCCGGAACGCGGGAGGGCGCGCGGGCCGCTGGCGGGCCGGGCCCGGCGGTCTGGACGAAGCTGGGGCGCTCGGGCCGCCGCCGCGCCGGTCTCCGGCTCTGGCGCATGGCGAGCGGGCGGCTGCGGGGCTCCTGGGCCGCGGTGCCGCGTTGCTCCCGCGCCGTCGGGTCGCGGCGAGTGGGTAGTGAAGAGATGGTGGTGGGGGGACAAAGATGGCCCGCTGCACGCCGCGGGTCGCGGCCGCGGAGACAGGGGGCTGCGGCAGACCCCCGCGCCTTGGCGGGCCTCGTGCGCGCCGAGAGGGGGCGCGGCTGAGCGCGCCGGGACCGGGCTCTGGGCGCCCCCGGGCGGCGGTCGCTGCGGCCGGGAGCAGGATTGGGCGGGGGGCGGACTGAAGAGCATGATTTGCCGCTTTCTTCCCACCAGGAGCGCCTTTGGGTTCGCGAAGCTCCCTATCCGCCCTGGCGCTCCCGCAGCGGCTGAGATCTCTGCGCCCCGGCCGTCCAGGTCGCCCAGCCGGCGTTGGCGCGTGACTGCTCAGCCAAGCCGCCGGGGGCCCGGGTTGGGCATGGGGTCCCCTGGGTCTGGGGCTGCTCCTGTCGGACCTCCTCCTGTCCTGGGCCGCTCCTCAGGAGGGGAGGCGGAGCTGGACTGAGTGTGTAGGACTCGGGGGAAAGTTGTTACGAAAGACTGCCGCGTTCCTCTGCCGCCTGAACCCGGGCCTTTCTGCCGGCGGGCTTGCACACAGCCGCGGGGCAGAGCCTGGTCTGCATGCCCGGCACCCCTGCCCATCCACAGCCTCCCCGCCGGATGCAGGTGCAGCGCCGGGCTGGAGTCCGCAATCCACACCCCCCCTCACTCTGGACAGAATGTGAGCCACACATCCAAGCCTGTTACATTTATAAGTAGCCACTTCTTTTCTTAAGTAAGGAATTGGTCAAAAGTCATTTTCATGATATAGTTTAATTGCACACCCCAGAATGTCACGTCCACGTAAATCTATGTAAAACTGTCCACGAAATGGTTCACTTTCTTCTACTGCATCTTCATCCAGGATTCTGTGTGCATTTGACACGCAGTCCCTGCAAATTCCCACGAGGCATATCTAGAAATTTTTAAATTAATTTAGGAGGCAGGGAGTTAGTTTTCCATCCACTAGTTCACTGTCCAAATACACAAAATAGCCAGGGCTGGACCAGGCAGAAGCCAGGAGTTCCATCTGGGTCTCCCATTTGGGTGGCAGGGACCTCAAGGGCTTGGGCCACCCTCTGCCGCCCTCCAGGGAGCACATTAGAAGGAAGCTGGCACCCCTGTTAGAGCCGAAACCCCACTCCAGCACGAAATGCAAGCACCTGGAGCAGTGTCTCAATGGCTGGGCCAAATGTGTGTTCTGATCGCTAAGTAGCCACTCAGTGGTAGGCACTAGAGGTGGCCCCATGTCTGCCTCCGCTGTGGGTTCTGTCTGTCTCATCCTGCTGCACAGCTGTGGGTTGGGAGAATCTCAGATCTGAGGGCTATGGCTTGCTGGCTTAGCAGCCTTCCCCTTTGCTCTCAGGATGCCGGGCAAACTCTGGTCCCCACTCCCTGGGGGCTCCCGGCTAACGGTAGCTCACTGGTTAAATCTCAATCCCACCTTCCCTTGCTCTGGCTGGGCCTGTGTCTCCTGGCTAGCACCTACTGCTGGTGCAGTTTTTGGGGTTGATTAGCTGCTGCCTGTCTCCCTTCATCCTGACTTGGATGAGCTCCTGGTGCCTGGGGCTTCGGCACCTTGCACCAAGCCTGACTCTTGGGAGGAGCTTGGTAAATGTGCATTCAAGAGTAAGTTCTCTGGTGTGCCAACCAGTGTGCTGAGCACCCCCACTGCAAGCAGGTGGACCTAGTGGCCATCAAAGGCCCCTCCTGCTGTCTCTTGGACCGAAAGTGTTGTGAGCAGTTGACAAGCAAGAGTTTTGAAAGGAGGAAGCAGTGTGGCTAGGAGGTAATAGACTGCTGCTGCCGCAGCACCCCTCCCCTTCAAGTCACCCCTCAGGCCAGTGGCTGTGGGTCGTGGGGCAAAGTGAGCAGCGCTTTCGGTGCCCAGGGCCTATGCCCTGCCTTGTCTTGTGGATGTGGGAGCTCGTGGGCATGTTCTGCTGCAGCCTTCTGCTCTGAGAGTGTAGGGAGGAGCCCATGGCAGATGTTCCGGATGGGTCCCCACAGCCCTGAGGGTTGGCAACAAGGCCAGAACTTCACAGCTAGAAGGAGGGATTTCCTACTTGGGCCCTTTGGGTACCCACACAGCCTTGACCTACCGTGTTCCAGCACCTGCCGGTCACTGCCTGACAGCTTCTCAGCCCTGTTCTCCACCAATCAGAGCTGAGGCCGGGCCCCGAGGCCACAGACTCGTGGGGTCACATGGAGCCTCGATCCAGGCTTGCTCCAGAAAGCCAAGCAGCCCCCAGGGAATGGGCTTTGCAGGTGAGTCCACTCGTGCTCCCAGAGTGTCCAGCCACCACAGAGACACAAGCCACGCCCACTCAGGCGGGCAGTCCTAGCTCCAGCCAACTCCTTGAAAGTTGTACACCCAGCATGAAGGTTCAAGGGGCTGCTCCCTGCCCATCCCACCCACCGTGGTGGCTCAGGGCCAGCTCCTCCTCCCACATCCTGGCTATTTGTTCCCAAGTTCTTTAGGCCTTTTGTTGGAGACTCAGGGTCACATATGTCCCTGTGTCCCCTCGGCACGGGACCAGAGCGCTAATTTACAGCTCAGGGGGTGGACCCTGCACCCACTCCTTCTCCCCGCAACCCTGCCCTGCCCCAGCTGCTGATGCAGCAGGCTCAGCAGTGCTGCGGGACCCTGATCTATAGTTAGGAGATTAGGGGTGAGGTAGGGTGGGGAACCACATTCTGGTTTTTGTTTTCTTCCCTAAAACTTCCAGCTGCTGCTCCAATTCTAGTCCAGTTCCTTGCTCATGCACCTGGGGAAGCAGCTGAGGATGCTCCAGGTACTTGGGTCCCTGCACCTGTGTGGGAGACCTGTGTGGGAGAAAGCTGCTGACACCAACCCTGGCTACTGTGGTCATTTGGGGAGTGAGCCAACAGATGGAGAGTCTCTGTGTATGTCTGCCACTCCATCTCTCTCTCCCCTTTGCATCTCCGGTAAATATAAGAAATCTCAAAAAGCAAGCAAAGCAGAAGCAGCCCACACTCTGTGGGAGCCAGCATCCCAAACTGATGCCTGGCCTGGCTGTCTGCTCTGGTCTGTCTGTATTCCCCTAACATCTTTGTAAAGATTTATTTCCTTTACTTGAAAGTCAGAATTCTATAGAGAGAAGGAGAGAGAGAGAGAGAAGGAGAGAGAGAGATTTTCCTTCAACTGGTTCAGTCTCCATATGGCCACAATGGCTGAAGCTGAGCCGATCTGAAGCCAGGAGCCAGAAGCTTCTTCCAGGTCTCCAACATGGGTGCAGGGGCCCAAGGACTTGAGCCACCCTTTGCTGCTTTTCCAGGCATATTAACAGGGAGCTGGCCTGCAAGTGGAGCAGCTGGGACTTGAACTGATGCCCATATGGCAGGCAAATACTAATGTGTTATGCTACCATGCTGCCTCCCTCTCCCTTAATGTCTTTAAGAACAGAGGGGCTAGGGCCCGGCACGGTGGCGCAGTGGTTAAGGTCCTCGCCTTGCACGCCCGGGATCCCATATGGGCGCCGGTTCTATCCCGGAGGCCCTGCTTCCCTTCCAGCTCCCTGCCTGTGGCCCAGGAAAGCAGTCGAGGACAGCCCAAAGCTTTGGGACCCTGCACCCACATGGGAGACCTGGAAGAATCTCCTGGCTTCGGATCGGCATAGCATCGGCCGTTGTGCTCACTTGGGGAGTGAATCATTGGACGGAAGATTTTCCTCTCTGTCTCTCCTCTCTGTATATCTGCCTTTCCAATAAAAAAATAATAACAATAAATCTTTAAAAAAAAAAAAAAAAAGAACAGAGGGTGAGCCAGACAAGCTTGTCTGGAGGCAGGAATGGAGCAGCTGATGCAAGAAGGCAGAGGCATGCTCAGGACATTGCGTGTCCAGGCCCCCGTTTGCCCTCCAAGGCCCAGGAAAAGCCGGCCCCATAACTCCAGCTCCTGACCCCACGATGGCTGCTGTCGGCCCCATACAGAACCTGAGCCCTTGACCCGGAGCATGCACCTGGCCCTCCTTGGATAGCCGAGGAGAGCTACAGTGATGGCCAGAGCTCACAGCAAAGCTGATTGTGAGCTCAGGAATTCCTTGCTCCCACCTGAGGGGCCTGAGGAAGAGCAGGCAGTGTGCTAATTCTCCCACTTCCCAGGGTTGTGTTAAAGAGACAGGAGGGCATAGAAGCCAGGGTGTTGGAGAGAAAACAGGAAAGCAGAAGATACTTGGGCTCTGCCTTGGAAATGCTGGGATTTGCTCTTCATGTCTGAGCTGGTCCTCAGTGCTGGGACTGTGCAATCTGCTTAATATATACATATATATGTATATATGCCTATATATGCTATATATATATTTGAAAGACAGAGTTACAGAGATAAAGAGAGAGATAGAGACATACACGCCTGTGCATGTGCACACACACA